CACATCACTGACATCTTTTAACGATGACATTTTCACTATGGCCTCTGTCTTAGCACGGATCTGGCTCTATCCCACTTGTTGTAATCTTATGGCCCATAAAAGTTATTTCTTCTTTCATAATTCTTGCTTTGGTATCATTTAATTAATGTTTTTAGTTCGGCACCTTATTTGGAGATTTCTTGTGTTCTCTCTCAAATCCGCTTCCGCTTCAGATTTCGTGTCTCCACATCCAATTACTATGATGTCATCTGCAATCGTTATAACACCTTTCCAATCTGAACAATGCTTCATTTAAACGTTTCTGAAATATTTCGCTGCTCACATTCAAACCAAATGGGAGTCTAGCCCATCTGTAACGAGAAAAAGGTGTGATCATTGTCGTTAACTTACTCGATTCTTCATCTAATATTACGTGCCAATATGCTTCTTTTACATCAAACTTGGTAAACACTTTTGCATTGCGTAGCTTATGCAATACATCATCAAGAACAGGTAATCTGTAGTGTTCTCGTTTCAACGCGGCATTTTAAAGGTTGAGGGTCAATACATATTCGAAGCTTTTTGTTAGGTTTCTCAGTCACAGCCATTTGACTAACCCAATTCGGTAGGTTCATCCACCGGTATTAAGATTCCCCTTTTCACCAGGTTATCTAATTCTGATTTAACTCTATCTTGGAGAGCTATTGGGATTTTTCTACAAGGTTAAAACTCTAGGTTGAAAATCAGGATCAACTTTTAATTTCGCTATTCCCAAGTTCCCAAAGTTTGCGGTAGGTCAACATTTGCAATAAATTTATCGCTGTTTATTGTAATTCAAACCCATTTCCTGTATTGTCATTAACCCCAAAAGACAGTTGAAATTATTCTTTGACAACAGTAAATCTTACCTCTGCGACTTCATCATTTCGAGGATTTTTTACCTTTAAAATTGCCTCACCAAGTGGTTTCATTTTCGTTTTATTCCACATCACAAGATTGTCTGTAGTTGGTCTAATTTGGTCTTTCCGCACATATTTCTCGCATATTGTGTTGACATCTGCAGCACTATCAATTTGAAATCTGACTTCATAATTGTTGGCTTCCATCAGAGCAGTAATTCTTGAACTGTTGACGTTTCTACACTTCACTCGGAAATGATTTCTACCATTGCACGAATGACAAGTTTTTCCGTAGGCAGGACAAAAGGATATCCCGAACTTGTGTCTGCGTCCACAAAATTTGCATTCTTGGTATGCATTTGGAATACGCTTGCTTTTCGAAGCTCTGTTCGTATTTCGGTATTGTCTATTTTTAGTCAACAAAATTCGTTGCTCGCTTTCTGAAGATGCACGGATCTCCGTCGCTTGCTTTTCTGACATTTCATATGTTTGGCAAATCTTTATGGCTTTTGACATATTGAGATCATTTTCCCGCAGCAAAATTTCTTGTAATTTACCGCTTACTGAAAATACGATTTTATCTCTGATCATTCGGTCTTTGTTTTCGAAATTACAGGAATCGGCTTTACTACGGAGTTCAACGAGAAATGTATCAAAATTGTCTTTGTACTGTATATTGAAAAAGCGAAAAGTCTCCATCACCTCATTCTTCCGAGGATTACAGTGTTCAGCCATTTTCTGTAGTAGAACTTTAGGGTCATTTTCGTCCTCTGTATCACTGTATACAAAGTGTTCGGCAGCTTCAATCATTTGAGCACCTGCGCAATATAAGATTATTGCCTTCTGTTCTTCCTTTGACTTGCTAGTAGAACCGCTGGCTAGCATAAAAATATCAATCTGTCTCTTCCATTTCTTAAATGTTTCTGATAAATTTTCATCATGCAGATCAAGAGTCGACGGTAAGCGAATTTCAGATACCGCTGCCACCATGTTAATAATGTCTTGGTTATATGTTAAGCAACAGAACATACTAGCGAGTGACGCAACTGCGACACGTTAGCACAAGACAGATAGCACAATCAATTATTAGGGACGTTACTCGACAAGGCATTATTAGCCATCATCAACAAGAAGGTTTTGTGGAATGCGTTGTTTGTACAAGCTAGCAGCTATTAACGCATTGTAAAGTGATAGGCAGAGATATTAAAATGAACTCCGGGTGCACAACGCAAAGGGATTGGAATTACTTGCACGTACCAAATTGAATTAAAAACTTGTTTCGTGTCCGCGCAACATTCAAAATTGGCAACTCTTCAAGGGCCGCACAATTTTTCTTTGAGGGCCGCAGGTTGCACACTCCTGATGTAAAGCAATTTTGAATAATGATATGGAGTAATAATCCCGGCTTATTATTGTGTGGAACTGTTCAAAACAAATCGTATCTTGGAAGAGATAATAGGAGAATTAATTGAGATTTTGTAATAGAAAATGAATTTCCTTATTTTAATGCCTTTTGTCCAGGTACAAAATGCCGATTTAAAAACTTTATATAATTGATAATGGTGAATTTGAGAACTTGCATTCATATCAGCGAGGCGCCATTGAAGTACGCCGTAGTCTGCAGTCACATTGGTCGGCCCTGTGGTGTGATACTAATGAAGCAGGTTACTTGAGGTCATTGACTTGCAATGACAACGCACAAACAACAAAATTTAAAATGTTATCAGTGCAATCCCGACGCACCTTTGTACCGCTAACTTTCTGGTCTAACATTTTCGCGCGATTGTTCAAATATTAGCTATAGTTTCGTAAAATACATTAACCCTTTGCTGACACAACAACTTCTTTTTTCGTTTGCTTTATTAGCAGCGATCGGTGATTTACGTCATTGAGGGTATTTGTTTGCGAGTCTACAGTAAGCAGCTCTTATCAATTTCGCAAAATATTTTATGTCATTCGTGCGATGTTAGTCTCGTCATTTGAAAGCTCGCATGCAGGATGGAGTATTATCGTTATTGGGGTTGTAGTAATAGGACTTCTGATACACCCCAGATGTCCATGAAATAGATAATTGATAACTAGTTTTGATATTGGAAGCAAGTTTGAGGTATTTTCAAATTGTAGAAAAGATGGGAAACCATGCCTTTGGCTAAATGTATTTATAATCAAATCGAATTGGCTTTCGTTTCCGATAACGGCAGCGTTGTGAAGTAGACTATTGTAATCTGCTAATTTTATTACACACCCAACCTTCCGATATTCAGATTTGTCAGGAAGCACTTACTCGAGTCGTTTTCATTAAGACGCATTTTAAATAAATCTCAATGTGACATTTTTTTTAAAAATAGGGCTGCGCGCATTCACTCAAAAGTAAAGAAAAATTTGTGCTCCTGTAGTATTTGTACCAAAATGGCGCACAACCTGAAGTAGTATGTGTACAATGTTGGGGTTATCAGGTTGTGCGCCATCTTGGTGCACATACTATGGAAGCGCCGAAAAATGATCTCTAATCGAATTTACGGTTACTACTGAAATGCCTAAAGCTGCTGTTTCGGCATTCCATTTATTAGATCTGTGGCCGTGGGTATGAGATTTTAACCAAAGATGTGATTACTAAGTACACAGTTGAATCACCTAATTTGAATTTGAGATAAAATGGATGGGACAACTGAGCAGTCTATTATTAAAGAACAGTGGTTCCCAGCCGTCGGAAGGTCCGCGAAGCTTTTGTTATTTTGTTATTTTGCCTGCCTTCTCAATCGCTTGACCAAGACAAAGTTGCGTTGGTTTATTACGCAATTTCTCTTCCGTCGTCTTATTGCTATTTGCTTAGTGCGTTAATGACCCCGCGAAGCCTCGACGCTGAATAATCACACTTTTCGCTTCGTTCCGATTCCTCGCAAAAGTGCCCTGTCAAATCTTGCATAATTCAGAAATCTAAAATCGGCACGAGTATTTTATCTGTTCTGCATGCTTTTTCTGCTTTATATGACCATCCAAATGAAAAGGTTATAGATATTTCTTTGTTTAAACCAGAAAACAGTCAAGAAGGGCTTTGCTTTTACATCCAGTAAGATATGATCTATATGTAAATCATATCATAACTTGATGGGCGGCAGTGATCTTTTCCAAGTGACGTACAACAGGATTTTGAGCCTGGTGCGGTGCCAAGTTACCGATGGATTTGTCTTTGAAAAAATAATTTCATTTTGTTTGAGGCGTCGATCAACTGCAGGGATTAATATGATATCAGTTTAACAAACAAAGAATTTTGATGCTTTTAACAAAAACAAGGAGAATGGGTCGTCTTCTGGACCAGATATTTCCCAAAAAGCGATAAGCTGACAATCACAAGAGAAAGCAAGACCATGTTGTGATTTTACTTTAGAGTCCAGATTTAAAAAATCCCTGTCCTAATTCTGGATATCTCTCGATATCAAATACGCATCGCCAAGTAATCGAGCAATCAAATCGTTTTTAAACCAGTAAAACAAATAATATTTTTACCAAGAGCTTTATTCAAAACGAAGCAAAGGCATTGGATTTTATTGCGCAAATCTATGTTATCATTTTATGTTACACCGCTTTCAGTTTTTGGACGACACGGTATTTGATATTGATGATAAATAAAGCACAACCCGTGTTAGCAAAACGATTTAAGTTGCCGACGTTTCGAATTTCTATGTCCAGTCATGTGAAATGCTTTCGGGTGTTTTTATTTTCATTATCTAGAAACATAGTCCTTGCCTAACATTGCGTGAAAATATGTTATTACTTTCTGTTCCGCTCATTTCAAGTTTTCGCCAGTCCGCGAGTACATTTATTTTAATTTACCGGCAAGCCAGAGTCAGAGAGTAGAAAGGTTGGGAACCACTATTGTAGAATGTTGAGTTTAAATAGTTCGTGAAATAAGTTGAAACAACAGTTAAGATCGAACTACTAGGGAGTTCGAATGTATGACGTCATACCTTATGACGTCATGAAACATGATAGAAACTCGATATGAATATAAGATTCAAGACTTGGTATCAATTCCATTTTCCCACTCTTGATATAAAAAGTGTTTCATTTTTTTCTCAGCCTGTTTCCAAGTTTTTGCTAACTACCGGCGATTTTTTAAAATCATCGTGGAAAAAACAATTATTTTCATCTCAAAATGGGTGAGTACAAATTTATTTGGCTTTTCTGAATTTCTCTACAGTTTGCTCCGAGCAAGACTTTGTGAATGTAGGTATCATGCCGACAGCAAGAACCACCCGATTTCAGCCGTGTTAATATTTATAATATTTATCTAATATTACTAAAGTCAACAACTAGTAAAGCCAAATGATCATGGGAGAGGCATCTGTTCATTGACTTGACTAGAGTCTTGTTTTTCAAATACTAAAGGCATCTGGGTGAAAGACGACTTGAATTCACTCGAGGCTGTGAGAAGTGACTCGACTTGTGCAAATAGTGAATTAATTTGTGAAACGGGAGTGCAGTGATTTTTTTTGAAACTCGGGAACTCATGGACTCCAATTGTGAAGTAACTTGACTGCTTACTAGGAAGTCAGAGATCCAACCTTTGACTCGGAAATGCAATGACTTAAAAATTAAAATTCCAACCATAGAATTAGTTCCTACAATACTTCATCATGATTTCTAAACTTTGTTCTCACAGAACCTTCCCGAATAGTAGAAAAACCTGAGTCTGGAGCATCAGAGAGCCACCAGGAAGCGGGTGTTTCACCAGTGAATCAGAAGACTGAAGTGCAGATGGCGTCTAAAGTTGGCCGAGGTAATGAATTTGTTTTGGAAATTGCTAAGAATAATTTTTAATACAAAACTATCAATAATTAGAGTGCAGTGGAATAATTGATTGTTTTTTGACCAAGGCACTTTTGGTAGTTTATTTTGATGTTGTCAGAATTTTGAAAGTGTGAGTTCGAAGTAAAAAATAGAAAAAATGACAGTTACTTTTCTCAAGTTGGGATTATTTTTTCAACTCTGAAGATGGGTTAATGCATTCCGAAAAGTTAAGGGGCTGGTTGAACTCATCATACAAAATATGATTTCTGATAAACAGTAATCTTCTTAGCTTGACAGACTCCACCCTTTTCCCACAGCTGCTTCCACTTGCAGTTTAATTATTTGTCGAATCTTCTGGTCTAAGACAAGGCTATCTAGTCCCTTCCAATAAGATAGTTTTAAGATAGTCTCGGAATCTCAAACAAGTGTTACATAATCTTTGAGAGCAAGTGAATTTATGAGAATAGCAAACAATAATGTTTGTTAGTTGTAGTGCTGGTTGATGGACTGGTAATTAATTATTGTGCTTTCGAAATAATTGAATTTCTGAGCTTTGAACAAAAATGAGAAATTGCTACTAGTTCTGTAGCGATATTAATATATCAAATTTTGGCGAGGGATGTCCGAACTAAGCATTATCTCGGAGAGGTGCTTCAATTTATTATTTCATTCATTTCTCTAGCTAAACAATCCATAGAAGGCGGAGAGGCGTCATCTAAGGCTCAGCCGTTCCACTCTGATCCAGATGAGTCTGAAAGAGCGTCGGCACCAGGTGGAGCTAGTGAGTAACATTTTCAAAATAAATGTTGCAAATAAATAAAGTAATTCTAACAGCCACAAATATTTGTTTCCATGGACATTTCCCCTCGTGGCATTTGCAACTTTCATTTATGTTATTTAAAATATACTAAAAGGCTTAAACTTTGCCAGGCTTTCTAGCTAACAAGACCCAATCTGACCTAAAAACAACTTTCATCAGTTGTCCCCAACCAGGGGCCATAGCTTCCCAAAGGGGCCACAAAGCAGTTACAGGAGAAGGGGGGAAAATGCCAGACACAAGACAGATTTTACTTCTCCGTTATTATCATTTTCTTTGCTTGATAAGGGTATTTCGCATTTTTTTTTACTTTATCTAGCATGAATTGTTTGAACGTACTGGGATTCGGAATCTGACAATAAGAATAACAATATAAATGCTACTATAAAAACAAACAGGGGGGCTATGAGTGCTCAAAGCTTCCGGAGTTTGACTTGAATTGTGACTTGGGAGTGTAGAGACTTGAAAGCAATGCCTCGAAAATTAAAATTCAAGCCATAGACTTAGTTTTTACAATACTTCATGATGAATTCCAAACTTTGTTTTCTCACAGAATCATCTCAAATAAAGGAAAAATCTGAGTCCAATGTGGCTGGAGAATCAGACAGCCCCCAGAAAGTAGGGGCTTCATCAGTGGATCATAAGACTAAAGTGCAGATGGTGACTAAAGTTGGACGAGGTAATGAATTTAAATAAATATTTCGTATTTTTGCAATTAAATACGTGGCTCAATGTTATTATCAATTTAGTGTCATCTCATAGACTTAAAATGGGCTCACAAAACTGTCATAATTTCCTTCTAATCAATTGAATTTTTTGATTTTTAAACAAAAATGAAAAATTGTTACAATGAGTTGATTTAAATGCACAAAGCGGTAACTTCATACTCTGTTATCAGTTGCTTAAATATCTTTTGTAATTTACAACTTAGTCTTGTAGCGATATTAATATATCAAATATTGGTGGGGGGTGACCGAACCGGGCATTAGCTTCAAGAAGTTCTTTAATTTATTGGTTGGTTTCTTTTTTCAGCTGAACGATCTGTAGAAGGAGGGGAAACGCCAACTAAGGCTCAGCCGTTCGACACTGATTCAAATGAGTCTCGAGGAGCATCGGCACCAGATGGAGCTAGTGAGTAACATTTCTCAGTAAAATTTTGCAAATAAATAAAGTTATTCTAAAAAACATTTTCCTAAATATAATTTTCCAAATAATGCTCTCGTACCCAATCAGGGATCACAGCTATTCTACTCTAATATGTATTCAAATGTGGCTCCTAACAAAACATTTTTGGCCTGGGCAATTGTACTTCGAATCTGAGCACTTTCATTCTGTCTAGTTACTCAAACCTGAACATAAGATATTTATGGTTTTCCTTATATATTCTGAGCATATGGTAAGTCATGTCCTCTTATTAGGTTACCAGTTCATCTCAGATCAGACAGTAATCTCAAACAGTAATCTTCTTAGCTTGACAGACTCCACCCTTTTCCCACAGCTGCTTCCACTTGCAGTTTGATTATTTGTCGAATCCTCTGGTCTAAGACAAGGCTATCTAGTCCCTTCCAATAAGATAGTTTCAAGATAGTCTCGGAATCTCAAACAAGTGTTACATAAGCTTTGAGAGCAAGTGAATTTATTAGAATAGCAAACAATAATGTTTGTTAGTTGTAGTGCTGGTTGATGAAATCGTAACTAATTCTTGTGCTTTTGAAATAATTTAATTTCTGAGCTTAGAACAAAAATGAGAAATTGCTACTAGTTCTGTAGCAATATTAATATATCAAATTTTGGTGAGGGATGTCCGAACCTAGCATTATCTCGGAGAGGTGCTTCAATTTTTTATTTGCTTTATTTCTCTAGCTAAACAATCCATAGAAAGAGAGGCGTCATCTAAGGCTCAGCCGTTCCACTCTGATCCAGATGAGTCTGAAAGAGCGTCGTCACTAGGTGGAGCTAGTGAGTAGCATCTTAAAAATAAATTTTGAAAATAAATAAAGTAATTTTAACAGCCACAAATATTTGCTTCTCTGGACATGCCCCCTCGTGGCATTTGCAACTTCCATCTATGTTATTTAAAATAAACTAAAAGGCTTAAACTTTGCCAGGCTTTCTAGCTAACAAGACTTAATCTGACCTAAAAAAAAAATACAACTTACATCAGTTGTCCCCAACCAGGGGCCATAGTTCCCCAAAGGAGGCACAAAGCAGTTGCAGGAGAGGGGGGGACAAAATGCCAGAAACAAAACAGATATTACTTCCCCGTTCTTACCAGTTTCATTGCTTGATAAGGTAATTAAGCAGTTTTTTTCACTTCATCGAGCATGGATTGTTTGAACGTACTCAGATTCAGAATCTGACAATAAGAATAACAATATAAATGCTACTATAAAGACAAACAGGGGGGCTATGAATGCTCAAAGCTACCGGAGTTTGACTTGAATTGTGACTTGGGAGTGTAGAGACTTGAAAGCAATGCACCGAAAATTAAAATTCAAGCCATAGACTTTTCACCATAGATGAATTCCAAACTTTGTTTTCTCACAGAATCATCTCAAATAATTGAAAAACCTGAATCCAATGTGGCTGCAGAATCATACTCTGTTATCAGTCGCTCAAATTCTTAAAATATATTTTGTAATTGACAACTTAGTTCTGTAGCGATATTAATATCTCAAATATTTAGGGGGGGGGGGGGTCCCAACCGGGCATTAGCTTCAAAAATATCTTTAATTTATTGGTTGGTTTCTTTTTTCAGCTGAACGATCTGTAGAAGGAGGGGTAAGGCCATCTAAGGATCAGACATTCGACACTGATTCAAATGAGTCCCTAGGAGCATCGGCACCAGATGGAGCTAGTGAGTACTATTTTTCAGTGGATGAATTTCTGCAGATAAATAAAGTTATTCTGGAAAACATTTTAAAAAATAAAATTTTCCAAATAATTTTTAATGCTTTCGTACCCAATCTGGGATCAGGGTTATTCTACTCTAATATATATTCAAATGTGGCTCCTAACAAAACAATTCTGGCCCGAGAAATTGTACTTCAAATCAGAGCCATTTTATTCTGACCAGATGAGTTATATATGTCTGTCTTTATATAACCTCAGCATATGGCAGCCATGGCCTATTATTTGGTTACCAGCCCATCCCAGGTATGGGAATATTTTGCAAGTTGTTTTTTCGGATTTGTGGACTTGGATAGTGGAATAACCGACCAGCGCTTATGTGAATTTGGTATTTTTTTTTAGCATTTTATTTCGTGGAAATCTGGGTTGGAATTTATTTTGTCACGTCGAACTTTTTGTCATTTCAATTCATTTCATAGAATTTTTCGTATTTATCATTTTATTCACCCAAACAAATAAATGTCTTATTTTTCCATAGCTGCCACAGCTCCAAAATTTCCTCCAGCTGAACAAGCTGTAGCAAAAGAGGAAGTGACTCGCACTGATCCAGCTTTGCCAGAAAAAGCACCAACACCAGAGGGAACTAGTGAGTAACTTTTTAGAAAAAATCAGGTTTTCATATAAGACTTGTGAATGGGTGTGTAAGATAGGAATACTTTTCATTTGCTTTTGTATTATCAATAGTGAGCAAACAGTTAGCTTTTGTATATCACAATATTTTATAAATATTTTGCCCAAATGTTTTAATTAAACCCAAAATTATTTTGCCTTTTTATATTCTGATATTCTATTTCCTGCTTGTAGATTAGGGCTGTCAGGATAAATTTACACATTACTCAGCGCCTTTTAAACATGACACCCACTCAGAATTGCACGACTGAGATCAAAAATACAATCGCAGCAACGAAGCGAATATCACAAACTTGAACTCTGGCCATCCAATTAAATATCCGAAATTATTATTCAGGTGGATAACCTAAAAAGTAAACACTTTTTGAATTTATTGACCTAAAAAACAATAATGCAGAATGATCATAAACTTCTTTCGAATTTTTTCAATCTAATACTTGGCTCAATATTTTTATCAATTTAGTGCCATTTCATGAACTCAATTCGGCTCACAAAACTGTCATAATTTCCTTCTAATCCATGAAATTTCTAATCTTCGAACGAAAATGAGAAATTGCTGCAATGAGTTGAATGCACGAAGCGTCTACTGTATGATCTGTTATCAGTCACTTAAAATATATTTTGCAATTGACAACTTAGTTCTGTAGCAATATTATTATATCCGATTTTGGTGAGGGGATGTCCGAACCAAGCATTAGCTGCGAGAAGTGCTTTAATTTATTGTTTGGTTTCTTTTTTTAGCTGAACGATCAGTAGAAGAAACAGAAGTGACATCTAAAGTTCAGCCGTTCCACTCTGATGAGTCTAAAAGAGCATCGGCACCAGATGGAGCTAGTGAGTAACATTCCTCAGTGAATTATTGCAAATGATTTAGTTATTCCTAAAAAAATCATAAATATAATTTTACAATAATTTTTTATTCGCTCATATCCTTTCACAAGCATTATCGTGTTCCTTGGTTTATCAACATACCGGTGTGTCTTCCCATCGTTGGAATGTAACTTCACTCATCCTGCTTTATTTTTTCCCGTGGAAAACATCAGCCACAATTATTTGCTTCCACCTGCGGCATTCCCAACTTCCATTTATGATATCCAAAATAAACTAAAAGGCCTAAACTTTGTCAGGATCCAAAGCTAACAATCTACCTAAAACAAAAAATACAACCTCTATGGTCAGGAGACAAACTTTATTTTTCTGTATGGCCGCAACCTCTAGAAATACTTGTGGTACTTGATGTATTGAACTCGGACTCCAGGCAGATACCGAGCCATGTAACTCCGGTTTCATGTTATGGCATCAACAATAAATTTGAGTAATTTTCTAACAAGGTGAATGGTATTTGTTCATTTCACTCTTGCTTATGACTTGGGACTCGACTTGTTACTCAGGAAGTTAATGACTCGACTTGTGTTGCATTTTTTTGATAGCAAGTACCCCTATGATCTTTGATTCAGATAAAACAATATATGACTTATGAGAATAGCAAACAATTATGTTGTTAGTTGTAGTTCTGTTGAATTGATGGGCTGGTAACAAATTCTGGCAGGTTGTGCATTCTTTTCTCCAATGTTTTAAAATTGTCCATCCTGAATATTGTTCTAGTGTTGGATTAAAGTCCGTGAACCCTAAGTCGCAAATCACTCGTTATCTGCGTCTCGAGTCGAGTCAATCGTTTGGTATTTATTATATAGTCCGAGTCATTTTATTCGGATGCTCAGATTTAAAATTTATTTCAGTTTTATGTCCTGATTTAGTATTTTAAAAATTTTATCTGGTTAAAATACTGCGTCATAACATCTTTGTTATGTAACGATAAATTAATATATCCGATTTTGATGAGGTGTGTCCGAACCAAGCATAATCTTCGATAAGTGACTTAAAATTATTGTTTGATTTCTTTTCCTAGCTGAACAATCTATAGAAGAAGCAGAGGTGACATCTAAGGCTCATCCGTTCCACTCTGATGAGTCTGGACCAGCATCGACACCAGATGGAGCTAGTGAGTAACATTTCTCAGTGATTTTTTGCTAATGAATCGAGTTATTCTGAAAAACATTTACAAAAACATGATGTTCCTGATTGATCAACATACCGATATATTTTCCCATCATTATAATGTAATTTCACTCATCCTACTCTATTTCTACTCGTGGAAAACTTCAGCCACAAATAATTGCTTTCCTGGACATTTCCACCCGCGCCATTTGCAACTTCCATTTATGTATTCCAAAATAAACTAAATGCCTAAACATTGCCAGGCTACCCAGCTAATAATCTGACCTAAATAAAAAATACGACTTATAACAGTGGTTCCCAACCGGGGGCCAATAACTCTCCAAGAGGGCAACAGGACAGTTGCAAGGGGGTCGCAATGCCAGACATAAAACAGATTTTATTTTTTACTGTGACCCGTTCTTACCCGTTCTTTAGACGCAGATGGCGTCTGAGGTTGGCGAAGGTAATATATTGGTCATGGAAATTGCTTAGAATGCTTTTGAAATAAAACTAACAATTAGTGAAATGTTGAGTGTTTTGACCAATGTTGCGGCATCAAATTTAAATTTTCAAACTATTTGTAGTTTATTTTGAAGTTAATTTTTTAAAGTGCGAGTTTGGAGTAGAAAATAAAACTTTACAATAGCCTTTATTTTTTTCGAGTTGGGATTCGAAGCCAAAGTATATTTTTTCCAATCCGGAAGAAGGGTAACAATTTTCTCCACCTAAGCATTCCGGGGAGTTAAGCGCCTAGTTGAACTATGTATGCCACTACAGCCATGTTTAAAAGGCTAGTAATTCTTTGGAACCGAGTTCAAATTTTGCCAATTAGTTAAATACTGTGCCCTTAACGGTTAACATGATTATGGAAAACAATAATTTTTTAGCTGGACATACTCCTCCCATTTTCCCACAGCGGCTGGCATTTGGAGATTGAATATTTGCCTAACCCTCTGGCATACGATGTGGTTACCTTGTCCCTTTTCAAATGGTATTTTCAAGACAGTCTTAGAGCCTTTAACAAGGGTTGCGCAATCTTTAATGGCAAGTTAACATGTGAGATTCGATTCAGTTAAACATTATATGACTCATGAGAATAGCAAAAAATATTGTTTGTTAGTTGTAGTTCTGTTGAATTGATTGAATTGATGAGCTGGTAACAAATTTTCGCAGGTTGTGCATGCATTTCTCTTGTGATTTGAAATTGACCATTCTGGTCCAGACTAGAATAAATCATACGTGCCTCGTGCATTCAAGTTCCAGACAGATCAAGGCGCGTAGTGAAGCCAAAGATAGGATATATCGGAAAATAACAATGAATTATATTATTTATAATTATAATGCTTATTTCTGCTAAATGTTTTTTAATCACGTACATTTATATTGTAGATATTATAATTAACATTTGTCTACACTTGGTCTGATCACCCTGTACAACTGTAGCACCAAAGCAAATATCACAAAAATGCAAAACTCGAACTCTGGCCAAATCAATAAATAGTCATCTGAAATTGAACAAAACTCTTTAGTATTTTTGCAATTCAATACTTGGCTCAATAATATTATCAATTTAGTGCCGTTTCATAGACTTAATCCGGGATCACATAACTGTCATAATTCTCTTCAAATCAATTGAATTTCTGTCAAAAATGAGATATTGCTACAATGAATCGTTTCTAATGCACGAAGCGAAAACTACATACTCAGCAAACGGTCACTTAGATTATTTTTAGGAATTAGCAACTTTGTTCTGAGGCGATATTAATATATCAGATTTTGGTTTTGGGTTGTCCGAACCAAGCATCATCTCCGAGAAGCGAATCAATTTATTGTCTGGTTTCTTTCTTTAGCTGAACGATCTGAAGAAGGAGGGGAAACGCCATCTAAGGCTCAGCCGTTCGACACTGATTCAAATGGGTCCCTAGGAGCATCGGCACCAGATGGAGCTAGTGAGTAACATTTCTCAGTGAATGAATTTCTGCAGATAAATAAAGTTATTCTGGAAAAAATTTTATTATAAAATAAAATTTTCCAAATAATTTCCAATGCTCTCGTACCTAATCAGGGATCAGGGTTATTCTACTCTGATATATATTCAAATGTGGCTCCTAACAAAACAATTCTGGCTCGAGAAATTGTATTTCGAATCTGAGCCATTTCATTCTGACTAGACGAGTTATATATATCTGTCGTTATATAACCTCAGTATATGGCAGCCATGGCTTCTTATTCGGTTACCAGTTCATTTCAGGTATGGAAATACTATGTATGGGAAGGTATGGGAAGCTACTTGTTTCGGATTTGTGGACTTGGATAGTGGATTAACCGACCAGCGCTTACGTGAATCATCCTACAAAGGCAAAAAACCCAATACTCCACTCGACATAATTATCCCGGGGTTCAAATTTGCAAAATTGCACTGGTTGATTAAAAGTGGGATTGGGAACATATTTCCAACACAATTCGCTAACTTCTGAGCCAAGTTCATAAACTTTCACTATGAATTAGCCAACTTTTCTTATAAAATGTTATTTACCAGGCCCACGCACCCCAAACATTTCTTGGATCAATTTCTGAGCTATCTAATGCTAAATCTTGAATTTCTTAAACACCGGAAAACCAAACCCGAAATTATTACAGTAATTTGGGGTGTACGCAACTCTTCAGCGCCACCTAAATACAACTACCAGTAAGATTAGGGGAACTGTCATGTTTTCTGACACCTCTGATTACCCAGTCTGAGTTCGCAGGTACGAATCTTGTACTATGCATGCACATACACAGTCTCAACTAGAAATTGAAACCCGATATCCATTGAAATTATGGTGCTCCAGTGGTATGTGAACTGAGACGCGGACACCAGAATGTAGTATGAGACCAGGTTAGGGTTAGGACATAATTTCAGGTACAAATACTACGGGAGGGACTCACTTGACTAGTCCCCGAACTTGAATAGAACTAAAATAAGAAAAATTGAAATTAAATTATGGCTTAACCTTAACAGGGTACACATACTCTGTTCAGGTGTCCGTGATATTGGTGCACATACTTCTGGGCGCCGAAATTAGTTTGGCCCAGCTTTGTTTGTAACATCATGTTCTAATTCTTGTCTCAAAAACCGTAAATCCGTTCAAAACCAAACTTTAACTCGTTCATGGATTCTTCCTAAATGGATTTTATATAACCTGTACCTGTACAGGAACGTTGCCGTATATAAGTAGTAATCAAATGCCACTATTATCTATTTTAAGACATAATTCATTTGAATTATTGCACCTGATTTTTTCTAGCACCGCTCATTGCCCAACACCACTGTAATCAAGTGGATGTCTAGGTCACTTGCAAAATTAGCCGAACCGATATTACAACAAACGCACTTTTGCTTCGAGCAAGCCAATTGAAATGGAGAATACATAATCCATCTAGTAGAGGCCTAGTGGCTGTTTATTACATTTCTTAAAAAGCGATGCTAGTTAGATAATTTGCCAAAACCACAAGGGGCAGTATTAGAAATTCCGAAACTTGATTAGATGCCCGATCATCTTTACACTTTCCGATCATCACTTTCGAACCAGCCTTGTTTCCCAATGGCTTCTCTTTTACAGTAAATGGATGAAATTTACATATTTATCGTGGAAAATTCGATAATATGGCTTAATTATATAGCGAGCCACTCTATGTCGGGTATGAGTTTAGTTAGCCAGTTATATTGTTTTCAGATAAATTGACTTGATGACGGGGAACCCATAATCGACCAGCAGTTACGTAACCACGTTGCGGTGGCATGATGCGCCACCCAACCAAGTGATGGTCATATTTTTGTAAAAAAAAACCTGACCTTGATATTGATACTTGAAAATCTTTCTCCCCATTTTCAACTCAATTTCATTGTTTTAGGCGACATCAGAATTGAAGATGCTTTCGCTGAAATTGCAAGAAAATTCACGTCGTTCATTCATTTCAAAATGTTTGCTTTATCTGGAAATGGTCTCAGGCTCAGTGCTGGAGAAGTTTCAACAATTATTGCAGACAATCCTGATTCTGTTGAAGATAAAAAGTTTGGAATGCTTGATCTTTGGAAAGAAAAAAATGGTAGGTTCTCGTTAAAAAAAATTGTTTTCAAACACCAAGGAAGTTGTCTCTTTTAAAAATAGTTTTTTTTATCACAAAATATCTTTCCTGCTTATAGAGGCTATAACTATAACTAGAGACTAAGTACCTTCCAAAAACTTCCAACTTCTTTGTGTTACAGGAACGAGGGCATCACCGACTCATATAGCAGAGATTATCCAGCAATATTTCAGGCAAGAGAGAGGTGGTGTCACTGGTAAGTTATGAGGGGGGGGGGGGGGTCATTACTTAGTATCATCCTATAAAAAATGTGCAAGCGGCACTTCAGCATTTTATCAGGTTTGTCTCACTCCGCAGAACAACAGGAATGTTGTTAAATCGACACTTTTTATTCATTTTTGGACACGAGTTTTGTTATAATGTGGTTGTTGTGGAAATTCTTTTTCTCATTCTTCTTCTTTTTCTACAAAACAAAAACTAATAACGACTGTCCAATTGTTATAAAATTTTCAGCGGTTAAAGATTTTATTTTTTGCGATTGGAGTATTGCCATAACTTGATTTACTTTAAAAAAGTTATTGGAGCTGAATGAATTGTTTTTTTCTGTGTGCGAAGTGGTCATCGCACACTTCATACCCACACAACGATGTTTCGGCCTTCATGTCCGCATATTTGAGTGTCGCCCTCTTTTTTAGATTGACATTATATTTCATGTATGCTCATATCGGATATGCCATTTGTTTTTATCATTGTGTCTCCATGTCTGCTCTGGTATTGCTTTCTTCAAAATTCTTGTTTGTACTGAATATATGCTAGATATAATTTGTTTTATTGGTTTTCCTCTTCAGGAAATATGAAAACTTTCGAAGGTTATTTTTTTTTGTTTCAACCTCAAAATGCTGGGTTTTTCCAACAACACTCAATAAAACATTGACCTATAGCATTTAACCGCTGTGTCACTCAAATAATTAGCTTCATATGCAAATGTAATTGATTCAGTTTCTTATCAGGTTCAAGAATCGAGGATGCTTTCCTAGCAGTTCCTAAAGTCTTCGACAACGCTGCACTGTTCCAAAGATTCGCATTGTCTGGGAAAGGTTTATCGCTCAGTATGCACGAGGTTGGAAACATAAAAGAAAATGCAAAAAATGTGGAAGAGAGGAATCTGGATTTGCTCGTTTTGTGGAAATTGAAAACTGGTAAAGCTTTGATTTTCGTTGTGTCCCATTGTTCGACTTGAGAAAACTGACATAGAAATTTCATGGTGGTGTATTAATCGCTTTTCATAGAGATTAGTTTGTTGCTTAGTTTGATAATTTAAATCAGGGGTGTCTGTTGTTCGGGGGCCAAATGCGGCCCTCAAGGAAAATTAATTCGTAAACAATAAGAGCATTTAAAATGACTTTTTGTATTAATTTAACTGTGTTTAACGTAACTCATAGTTACGTCAACTTTATTAATAAATTGATGCATAACTACTCTAAGATACGGCGGCAATCTGTGGACATAAAATGTATGGTTAACTGTCATTTTATAATTAATTTTGATTCGCACTCTCTTACTTAAAAAAAGGCATACAACTTAAAATATCCCTTATAATCCAATATTGATATTAAAATATCAATTATATTCAAAAATATAAATTTTCTGGTAGCCAGCTTGTAGGTAACAGTTATCCCATTGTTTATTGTATGCAAATCCCGACATACACCGAGATAAGCTTATTTTACTTGAATTTATTTTCAAAGTATTCGAAATTTCATATTTGAAAATAATAATTTCGAATGTATTCGAAATAGTGAAATATTCGTTATTGACCAGCAGAATTACTCGTCCTGGGCAGCAGAAAACTTTGACACGCCCATGCATTCTTGTTTAAATATTTGTCTGGCTATAGGTTTCAGTCCCTTTTGATGACACAACTTGATGCAAAGTAGGCGAACAAAATTAGTTACCGCCATATTGGTACACACTACAGATAAGCTTATTTTATTTGGATTTATTTTCAAAGTATTCGAAATTTCAAATTTGAAAATAATAATTTCGAATATATTCGAAATAGTTAATTATTCGTTATTGGCCACAGAATTACTCGTCCTGGGCAGCAGAGAAGTTTGACACGCCCTTGCATTCTTGTTTAAATATTTGTCTGGCTATAGGTTTCAGTCCCTTTTGATGACACAACTTGATGCAAAGTAGGCGAACAGAATTAGTTACCGCCATATTGGTACACACTACTTCTGGAGCGCCAAAAGTTTAATAGCAGATTCATTCATAATAGCAGATTCATCATTTTCTATTTTAATAACACAGGAGATTCAGCAACAACTGAAAAAATCTGGCAACTGGCAAATGCTTTCCTGGATGAAAGAGGAGAATCCCACCCAGGTAAATTGTTACTCAAATAGAGTTCCACTGACATCTGTTGTTATGGCAACCTGATTGTGGATGCCAGATTTACAAGTTATCTGGGGTTGATGGCTCAGCTCAAGTCGCACTTGTGAAAGAAACTTCATTCTAGCAAGGTAGAAGACTTATAATCAATGCAGTAGTAAACCTCACTGCTCTCACTTGTCCAGTTACAGCCGAGATTGAGGATTAACATAGCTCACCAGATAATTGTTCCAATTTCATGGAATTTTTAAATCTGACAGACAGATTTTAACACCAGACATTAAATTACTGATTTAGACAAAACTCTTAATATCAGAAATACCTGCAGTGTTCACTCTAGTGAAATTATGACTGCGAAGGTGTTTCGCAATTGAAACAAAGAGTGCGAAAATTAGGTGCCATAGTTTTTGATTAAACAATTTTAAATATTGAACACTGCTAGACAGTCAATACAGAAATATATCAATCCTTGTTAATGAGTGATTTTAACAACCAAAGGTTTCAGGCGGGCACTTCGTCATCCTGATTTCCACTTTCCATACAGATCAGCCTCCACTGCATCCTCGTCCAATGGAACTTCCTGTAGCTGAGGAGAGAGCGGGTGACGCTGAACCACTCAGACCTGATGCTGAACCATCTCAGGCTGATCCAAGACCAGTAAGGCAGGAACCTGGTGAGTGTTTAAAGAGACTTCTGCTCAATTTTGTTTCCATTGTAAGAAAATATGCTCAAAACTAGGTCATGTCGTTCTAGACCAGAGATGGGCAAACTACGGCCCGTTGGATAAATCAATCTGGCCCGCCTGATGCTGCCACAACCAAACTAAAACCAAATTTTGATGTTTTAGGTAAAAATACCTCAAGGAATTTGTTGATATTGCGATTAAATTTAGTTTTGTCGCGGGACTAATTGTTTTCCATTTTCATGCTTCTGTAATACTCCATGCCCATAAAATATTACGTTTTGCGTCACACTTACATGGCCCGTCAGTCTAGGTGGGCAATATTTTTGGCCCTTGATCCAAAAACCTTCCCCACCCCTGTTCTACACTCACTCCAAAGCAAAATATATTCTCTCCTAGCAAAATTATGGGCAGCCACTGAGGGCCTATAGCTACTGACACTGTTCGACACTATTTTTAAATTTCCATACAAGACTCTTCAAGTTAGGCGTAGGATTGGTTTGCAACCAGAGGGCCATGGCCCACTTCTGGGCCACAGAAATATTTTCAGGTGGGCCACTATTAAAAAAAACTATTAAAAATTGATAAATTAGTTAAACTTGGATAGCAGTAGAAGTTTATGGATGATGCTGTTTTTGCTTTTGCTAATTATTAAAGTGGAAACGTAACTTTGCAAAAAGAGCAAGTAATTTTTTTTTTGGATTTTCCTTTGCATGAAAAAGTTTATGAGCCACAGAATATGTTGTGCAACAAGAGTGGGCCACAAACCGGAAAATGGTTGAGAACCACTGGACTAGACGTTCCAAGTGAGGTGTATTGGCTATAGGATTTACATCGCCATCTGAGAAGCCTCCCCTGTAAAAAAATTGTTTGTTATGGGCAGCCACTGAGATGCCAAAAGCTACTAAAACTGAATAATCAGAATGATGAATTGTAAGTTAGTAAATACGATTAACGCTCACCATGTACAAGATTCCCATGGATTGGCTGAGGAATCGTAACTTGGTGGTAGAATTGGCAGATTACCCTGGGAGAGAAAGTCGATAAGATGGCTGTCGTATGAAGTATTTCAAGATCTCCTGTAATTTCTTTCTTCAGCTGAACGAGTCGCAGAAGAAGGGGAAGCGTCATCTAAGGCTCAGCCGTTCCACTCTGATGAGTTTGAAGGAGCATCGGCACTAGGTGGAGCTAGTGAGTAACATTTCTGCTAGTATTTTTGTAAATAAGGATAGGATTGACATATTTATCCAAGGATGGAAAAGTATGTGCGACGGCTTAATCATATGGCAAACCACAGGCAACTGGCCAGTTCATGTCGGGTATGGGATTAATTACCCAGTTATGTTTAGGATGCATGGACTGGAATCAGACACAAATTTATTTTCTTGAGCAAAAATATGAAACAATTTGATGTGTTTTTAAAGGAGTTTTATAGTCGGAATTGTATAATTTGGAAAGCTGGGGCTAGACTTGCAAATCAACAACGGTGGAACTTGGTTGTTGGGCTGAAATATGGACAGTAGTAAATCTGCTTTACTATTTTATAATTACCTTGTGTCAGTCGATCCACCTCAACGCCTACTTTTATTTCTATCTTCCAGGTCAAAGCAGTTCTGAAGTTCAAGCTCCTTCCAATGTACTTGGATCTCAAGGAGCAGGGAAGACTGTACCAGGTGACGTGACTAATTATTTAAAGTATGGGTTTGCAAACTGTGGCCCATGGGCCAAATGCGGCCCTCATGAAAAAATTGTGTGGCCCGCGGAGAAGTGCCAATTGTTTATGGGGTGGCTGTGAAACAAGTTTTTAGTTTAGTTAATCTTGTATGTGCGAGCAATTCCAATACCTTTGCATCACAAAGCCTATAACAGTACCTAAGGGCGATTGTCATATTGGCAATAAATTGAAATAACAGTTTTATGTAGAAATTTCTGCAAGAACCCCTAACAATGCCATAAGATAACAGTAGCTTTTCCACTGTTTTCACAAAAAAGTGAGGTAATAGTGAAAACTGGTAAAGAATCAATACAGCAGTTTAGCAACCGAGTGATTTTAACAACCAAAAGATTCAGGCGGGCACTTTGCCCTGAAATGAAATTTGATTTTCGCTTATAAGTTCCCCTCAATACTGCTGGAAAAAACACAATTTGATCAAAACTCCTTTAAAAAGGCTTGAATTGTCTCTAGATACTGTTGCTTCGTCTCTAGAAAAAACGCATCTTACCACAGAGCCTTTGCCCTCTCTACAGAGTCTCTGTAAGATATGAATAAAATTTCATCCTGATTCATACTTTCTATACAGATCACCCTCCTCTGCATCCTTGTCCAATGAAACCTCCTGTAGATGAGGAGAGAGCGGGTGACGTTGAACCACTCAAACCTGATGTTCAACCACTCAGACCTGATGCTGAACAACTCAAACCTGATGCTGAGCCACTCAGACCTGACTTTGAATCATCTCAGGCTGATCCAAGACGAGTAAATCAGGAACCTGGTGAGTGTTGGAAAAGATTTCTGCTCAACTTTGTTTCAATTGTAAGAAAATTTGCTTAAAACAAGGTCATGCTGTTCTAGCCTCACTCTGAAGCAAAAGATATTCTGCTCCTAACGAAGTTATGGGCGGCTACTGAGGGCCAATAACTACTGGCACTGTTCGACACTATACTTTAAATTTCCATACAAGACACTTCAAGACAGGTGTAAAATTTGCAATATGATCCACATCGCCACCTAATTAGTCTCCCTCGTAAAACAATTGTTTGTTATGGGCAGCCACTAAGGTGACAAAAGCAACTAAAAATGTCAATAATTAGAATCGTGAATTGGAAGTTAGTAAATACAATTAACGCTCACCAAGTATAAGAATCCCATGGATTGGCTGAAGGCTCAATAGATCAGGGACTAGAACTAGGGAACATAGATAAGTCTCGTACTCTGACTCTGTGTAGGCTCTCCAGAAGTATGTGTACCAATATGGAGGTAACTAATTTTGTCCGCCTATTTTACATCAAGTTGTCTAAAGCTACTGAAACCTATGGGCAGTGGGGTATTTACTTGGTCAACAAAGACAGTCCACGAACTCATAATAGAACTAAAAATAAGGAAAATCGGAATAAACTTATGTCCCATATTTACCCTGGTACTCATACCGAATTTTGTGCAACTCTAGCGCCCTCTGACGCTTGTGATATATGTATAAGAATAAGTATAAGATTTCCATGTCTCGTACTCTGTGGGTTGAATTGTAACATGGTGGTAGATTACCCTGAGGAGAGGAAAGTCAGCAGGCTTCTGTGAAGTATTCTAATTTCTTCTTTGATTTTATTCTTTAGCTGAAAGATTCGCAGAAGAAGGGGAAGCGTCATCTAAGGCTCAACCGTTCCACTCTGATGAGTCTGAAGGAGCATTGTCACCAGGTGGAGCTAGTGAGTAACATTTCTGCAAGTATTTTTGTAAATAGGGATAGGATTGACATATTTATCCAAGGATAGAAAAGTATGTGCGACGGCTTAATCATATGACAAACCACAGCCCACCTACCAGTCCATGTCGGGTATGAGATTAGTTAGCCAATTATGTTTTAAATGCATGGACTTGAACGAACGCAAAAAAAGCTTGCAAATGCTAAAATTATCAGAGATTTTTTATTCGAAGTCGGAATAATCAATTTATGGCTTGATCTTCCTGGAAACAGAATCCTAGAAACCTGGTTTACTCCATAGGAGGGTTATTTGGCTGCCATATAGACGGCAGGTTAGGAATAGGGATGAGTATATGGTCCCAATTACCATTTGAATGGCCTCCTTCATACAGGGCTATTGGGCTGTCATATAGACAGCAGGTTAGGAATAGGGATGAGTATATGGTCCCAATCCATCCATCTACTGAACATGTTGACTGCACACACAATGAGTTGCAGTAAGTTTTCGAACTGCTTTGCTTTTCTAAAATTACCTTGTGTCAGTGGACCCACCTCAACGCCTGCTTTGATTTCTTTTTTACAGTTCAAATCAGTTCCGAAGTTTCAGCTGTACTTGGATCTCAAGGAGCAGGAAAGCCTGTATCAGGTGACGCGACTTATTTTTTAAAGCAGGGGTGTGCAGACTCCGGCCCTTAAGAAATAATTGTGCGGCCCTTGGAGAAGTGCCAACTGTTAATGGTGTGCCCGCGAAACAGTTTTTAGTTTAGTTAATCTAGTATGTGCGAGCAATTCCAATACTTTTGCATGGAAAAGCCTAAAACAGTACCCGAGGGTCACTGTCTTATTAATATATTTAACTAGTAGTTTTCTTAAGAAATTATGTGTTTTCACTCACAATTTCTCACTCCCTCTCAAACAATACTGTAAGAACAAAAAACAATTTTTGTGGATTCATCTACTAGAAAGGCTATCTTATATAGAGATTTGGCTAATGGATTCACCTGGTTACTTGTATTTGGCCCTCCTGTAATAATGGTTGCACACCCCTGATTAATAATAAATACAAATTTTTCACTCTTACATGACCTTTAATTTATTTATTGTCATGTATAATCTACTAAATTAAAGTTATGAAAAGGTAAAGGTATGAAGGGCACTATCTTCAGAAACCAGTTTCTGGCAACACAAAAGTTAGACACGCCTGTGACCATTAGTCAACGTACTTGAAGCCTTGGGTCTTCGTCATGCAGTTTGGAACTTGGAAATCTATTATTACAGCATAATAAATCGATAAAGTTTATGATATCATTGTTAATTGAAAAGCGGCTTTCCCTACTCTAGAGTGGAGGAGTGCAACAGGTGGCTCGCGGGGCTCGATAACATTTTAGAGTGGCCCTCGTCAACATTTAAATATTTTCCCATCAAACAAAAAAACCTAATCTAACAGTTATGTTTAAATATGCGCTCACAAGCAATGTAAAAACTTGAATTTTTGCCAGTTATTCCAGATAATTCAATACTTATACAACCGTTTCTTTCAGTTTCATTTCCAAAAGGGAAGTTTGATCGAGCTCACTTTGGGGATCAACATATTGCGACACAGAACATAAGTAAGTGTTTTGTTTTTTCTATTAAAACTGAATTGAAGGGATTTTTGACAAAAAAAGTCTTTGCAAGATCACAGGGTGTAATCGGTGAGAAATTCCACCGACTCAGAGGATTATAAGGTCCAATTGGAGATAAATTTCATTGACTCGAGGTTGTATGAAAACTGCATTAATGAGTTTAGACCAGGGGGTTGAAACCTGCGACAAACAAAGAAAATTGTGCCGATTTTGATTGCGGTCTGCGAATAAAATTTTTCATTTGTTTTAATCTTCTAATAAATGTTACATACCCCGGGTTTAGACAATGACTCCGAAAACTTGCACTAATTAAATCAGTTGATAGTCGGGGATAAAGACCTGGTTTTTAATTTCAATACTCAAGTCCAGCTTTAGAGAAATAATTGAGAAAATATGTTTTATCCTGTAACAAAAAACGACTAAAAATCGCCAATTTAGTTTTTGGAGCAGGTTCCAGGTTAAAATACAAAAATATAGAATCATAAAACTCGTTAATCGTGCTATATTTATCGTGGTTGTACAATGCATGAAATATTTCAATTTCTTCGCAGCGAACTACTATGGTCCTGTGGTTAATCAAGATTCTGCTCAACAAAAACGAACAGATGCACCGGGTGCTATAAAAGCTGCTGTAGGTTTGGGTGAAGACGATGGTATGTTTGAATTGAGAATTTGTTAAAATATTGTGAGGCTTGCTAATAGGGTGACAGGATATATCTTTAGGGAGACACTATAACAGGGCTACTCAACTATTTTCACCAAAGGTTTGCACACGAAATGTAAGATTTACAAATATCTTTAGGGAGACATGATAACAGGGCTAATTTAACCATATCATGAAAGGGTGGCACACAAAATTAAGATTTACATATATCGTTAAAGAGACACTATAACGGGGCTACTCAACTATTTTCACTAAATCTTCACACACAACTATATATGATTTACATATATCTTTAGGGAGACACAATAACAGGGCTACTCAACTATTTTCACAAGGCTTCGCACACAAAATTATATTGCATATATCTTTAGGAGACACAATAACAGGGCTACTCAACTATTTTCACTAAATCTTTCACACACAACTATATATGATTTACATTATATCTTTAGGGAGACACTATAACCAGGGTTACTTATATTTTTTCACCAAATATTCGCACACAAAATTCAAAACTTACATATAGCTTCAGGGAGACACGATAGTATGCCTATGGTTACATTGTCAACATAAAGTTAATTTTTTCTCGACTGATATGTTTGTTTTGCTTAAAGATATCATTTTCGAAAAATTAGTGTTGATGCAGCAAATCAGTTGTACAAGTTTAATAATTTGTCTAAAAATAGGGTCTCACAGAGTTCATTAGTTTTTTTTATTAAGAATTTAAAAGTTTTAAGAATGAAAAAGTGATAAAATATCCCGCATATTCTAAGCACATACATATTTTAATACGCAGAGAAAATAAGAATGCTCATAAAATATGGCGATGCGTGGTAACCATAAAGCCAAGCAACTCCGACCTCGTTTTGTAGTTTCGTATCCAACTGCATAATATAGAGCCTTTCGCGACATCGGAAGGGTTATAAAACGAGCGAGAGGTCAGTTTTGAAAACTCGTCCCGTGAA